GAGAAAAAGTTTATCTTTATGTCTGCATGATCAAATAAGGAATTTGTTGAAATGGCAGGGAGTGTATGGACATCTGATAGTTTAAGAGTTTTGAAGAATACATGATTTTTTTTTAAATCAATTAACCATAAACATAATAGTTTATTTCTCAATTCTATTCCACTGGTCTCTATGTCTATCTTTATGGCAGTACTACAAGGTCTTGATTACTATAGCTTTGTAGTCAGCTTTGAAATCGGAAGCATGAGTCCTCTGATTTTGTTCTTCTTTTTCAGGATTGTTTTGACTATTTGAGATTCATTGAATTTCCATTTGAATTTAGGATGAGTTTTTTCTATTTCTGCGAAAAACACCATTGGAATTTTGATAGGGACTACACTGAATCTACTTTTGGTAACATTGTCATCTTAACAATATTAAGTCTTCCAACCCATAAACATGGGATATCTTCTCATTTATTTAGATATTTAATTTCTTTCCATGAAGTTGTGTAGTTTTGGGTATACAAGGCTGTGCTTCTTTTGTTAAATATATTAAACATTTTATTCTCTTTCATGCTATTGTAAATGAAAATTTTTTATACACCTTTATTGGAGTATAATTGCTTCACAATGCTGTGTTAGTTTCTGTTGTACAACAAAGTGAATCAGCTCTATATATACATATATACCCATATCCCCTCCCTCTTGAGCTTCCCTCCCACCCTCCCCATCCCACCCCTCTAGATTGTCACAAAGCACCAAGCTGATCTCCCTGTGCTATGCGGCTGCTTCCCACTAGCTATCTATTTTGCATTTGGTAGCGTATATATGTCCATGCTTCTCTCACTTCTCCCCAGCTTCCCCCTCCTCACCCCATGTCCTCAAGTCCATTCTCTATGTCTATGTCTTTATTCCTACGCTGCCACTTTTTTTTAGGTTTTAATACTTTCCAAGATATAAGGTAATTTTGGACTTTAATGTAGGATGTGTTTTTGCCCAAGGGAGTATTTTAAAAGTATGCCTTATTTTAACTTAAACTCTACTACAGTTTATGAAAGTAGCACAGAGATTAGAACCTTTCAAGATTGTTCAAACTATTGAACAAAGAAATAATAGAGCACATACTACTAGTTCAAGAAAATTATATCTGAATTTTAGAAACACAGTGTTACTTGTATTATACTGTTGTATTCTGTAGCCTTCCGTCCCTATAGAAATGTAGAAGTTGGAAGTATATCTATCTACCCAAACTTGTATTTTACTGTAATATTTTTTGTGTGAAAGATCCCCCCAAAATTATCAATTATGAAGTCCCTGGACTTCCTATAATTGCAAAAATAAAATTTTGTTATTATTATTGTTTTTCAAAGGACTCAAAATTTCAATTCTTTCACAGTCATCACAATGATATTTGTGAATATCTCCATGATTCATCTATTGTATATCTGCATTGCAGTCTCCCTGCTTCCTCCTATATTTGTCCATATCATTTTCTGAACAAAATGGGATATGCAACAAAATAAATAATACATTGTCATCTATTTTGAAAGACTAAACCATGTTCAAGGCTATTTCCACATTACATCAAAGTTATAGTTGCTGGGAATGTCAGGAAAATATTGATTATATTCAGAAAGACATTAATTACTAACAGAGTTTCCCAAATTTTTCTTTAAATTTCTAAGTCATTTCAGGCCCCTAAATTCATATAAGACATGTAGAATTTTCACACTGTTTTTTTCAAAGATTCTTCATATGACATACTTTTCTAACGCTTTTATCACAGTCAAGGTCTTCTAAACTGGGTTAAAGTATCACTTTTAAGATAGTAGACCCAAATTTATGCACTGTATTCCAATGACGTCTTCTCAATAAAGATCTGCATAAAAATTCCATATCATTATTGAATCCTTCTGAGACTGTTTTAGATCTATTGCCTCATTGCTACATTCAGATAATATATGTATTAGAAAATAATAGATGTTACTCAAAATCTCTCCCATATGATACTTTTCAAAGTGTACTGTCTAACACATATCTTTAGTTCCTGTCTTGTTAGCTTAAGGTCTTTGTGCTAGCTGTTCAAAATCTCCTTAAATCTTAATCCAATACATTAGCTATATTAGCTTGGCTTCCAAGTGTTCTATAATCTTCTGTCTTCATCCAAAGACAGACAGTTAGAATTAAGAACAAAACTTGGGTACACATTATTAGAGATTGTCCTTTATTTGACATTGATAATTAGCTCTTCTCATCCACAGATTTTACATCCTGCTATGGTTTCCTTTTATTCAATTTATATTAATTTTTTATCCAGTTTAAAGTAGTTATGCAAGACTTTCTGTAATACTTGTTTTATTTTTAAAACATTATATTTCAAGTTTAGAGATTTGTTTTCTTCTTGTCACCTAATATTTCAGTTTCAGCAAGACAAAGTTTGTTCTCATATGTATATGTATATTTATGTGTGTGTGTGTATGTACACACACACACACACACACACACACACACATATATATATATATATATATATATATCTTCTTATCTCTTTCATTTTATTTCAAAGTTTTCTTGTTCAAGTTCAGTGAGCCTACTGCCAAGTACATTTTTTGCAGTTCCAGGGAGATACACAATATCCCTTGTCAAGAGTTCATTATTCTGCTGTGCTAAGCCCTTCTGGGTAGGAAGCTCTTTGTTTCCTGAATCCTTTTTTCTTTTCAAAAGTCAAACCTTCAGCTGGAAAAGCGAAAGAATATCGTCATGTCTCCATGTGTGAGAGCTTTCTATTTGAGAACTTAAAATGCACTAGAAACATATTCAGGCTTTCTTCTTGTTTCGCATCATGTTTCTGATTGCATTTCCAATAATTATCTTGAAAAAGAACATGTTTCCAGATTAAGAATGTAAAGTGGACATGAGGCTAGAGCCATGAAAGAGAGTCCCCATCTACCCCTGCATGTTATCATGTCATTCTACACATTATGATATTTACTGAGACCAGGGACCAGTGTCTTACATCTCTTCTTCAGAGGACCAGCAGTAAGATTCTCAAACGTGTTTGTGCCTATGAGCCCACGTTCAAACCTTTTCCTTAGGCTAAGGAATTGTACATATATGCAAGTTTATATTAATCATGAAGCAACATCCTACACCTGATAGGTGTGCTTACTCAAAGGTCAGGTTTCCAGGAGAGTACCTGTGATGGCTATACTCTTAAAAACACACGTGATGCAGTTTCTCCTCTTTTTTTTCCATCATTCTGAAACCTGCTTCAGAGTAGGCAATCGACACACTTTTCTTTAAATTTCTCTTCTTCCAGGTGAGAAAATATTTTAAATAACTTATTAGATTATTTATTTATGTTCTATAACAAACCTTCAACAACTTATACATATATATGTGCATATATATGTGTATATAATTTTAATTTACGTATATAATGTGTATTATTCATGTTTTATTACCTGCGTTATATTGAATATTTGAAATATTCATTATCTTTCTATTGCATTAGTTTGGCAATGTACAACCAAGAGAATATAGCTGTAGGGTATTGTATCATGACTATCATAAACATACTCATAATTTTAAAAATTCCAATTTTCAGAATAAGAGAAATTGATAGGGAAAAAAGAATCCCTAAAAGTAATTGTCTAATGATTTACTGACTTTTTAGTGAAAAGTAATTAACTCAGATGTGTAGTCACAGGTTGGATGATCAGGGAAGCAGGCTCTGGATTGGAGTTAGGGGGCAGGATATTTATTGGAGTGTGCTCTCATGATCGACATCTGTGGACCACAATGGAAGTGGAAGAAAGAAAGGTAGAGTGAGCAATTAAGCTGCCATGCAATTTGAATGTGTCCATGGCTGACCCCATGGGAAAGCTCTGGAACTAAACTTGCCCTTCAGTATTTTCTGCATTCAGCAGAAATGGCTTGACATTTATAACCTTGCAGCAATAAGTCATTGGCTATGTGTTGCTCCAGAAAAGTGTAACCTTGGGCCAGGTCGCAATCTACAGTTCAGGCAACAAGTCACTTCATGCAGAGGTTCTGAGCAGCACATCCAAGTGTGCACCAAAAGGGTCCTTTAGCTAACAGTCATGGAAGGGGGACTAACAATGCTAAGATAAACATTTCCTATGTGCACCTGAGGCATCAATACCAATTGGAAGTGAACTGGTGGAGTAGAGGCAGTATGACATCCTGGTTTTGAGCAGGGTTCTAGAATGTATTTGGGTTATAGCTTGATTATTCACTAGCTCTGTGATTTGAGGCAATTTATCCTCTGGGACTGAGGTTATTTATTTTAAAATTATTATTCCTAATAAAAATGATTTTCCCTAAAATGTAAGGAATTTAACATCCTCTCCCTTATACGGTTGTGTGGACTGATCAAAATACCTCATGCAATCATTTACTATAGTTCATAGTATTTTTAAAGCACATAAAAAATGAAATTAACATTTTATTCATTATTAACTTACCCATGGTGTGCCCACTATAACAAGAGTGCTTCAAATCACAAGTTTAAAATAGTATATCAATTGATCTGGTGGCTCCATAAATACATTATCTGTACCAATGATTCTTAAACATTTTTGTACATTAACCTCACCCGAAGTTCACTAAAAATGTAGCTGTCTATTTCTATCACTTATATTCAGAGTCACCAGGTTTGTGGTAGGAACCACTGGCTCACCCCGAAGTCTGGTATCCATGTATCCTTTTCAATCCTTTGGCTATTATGCCCATGCCCCAAATGCTCACCGCTTCCTTCCTCCTCTGTCATCCACTATTTCCCCTCCCCTTCAGTCCAGGCCTTATTAACTTTTCAAATATGTTTCTCCATTTGAGAATGAGTTTTAGTCCCTGGTTAATAATCTCCCCTTCACGTTCCTTTATCCATTTCATAAACGGAAAAGAAATCGCACATGCCCATTTTATCCATTAAAGGAACTGTGAATCTTTAATGGCGGCTTTACTAAGTCCATGTTGTTCTGCTTATGTCTGTCATAGATAACACAGCCAGCATTCTGACAAGGCGGAGGAGATTTAGTCGAACTATTCAGGATGTGTATTACCTCCCCATTATGATCTCTGACGGTGGAATCCCCTCTCTCAGCAGCAGCAGTACCCTCACCATCAGGGTTTGTGCGTGCGAGAGAGACGGGCGCGTGCGGACCTGCCGTGCAGAAGCCCTCCTGTCCTCGGCTGGCTTGAGTACAGGAGCCTTAATCGCTATTCTACTGTGTGTTGTCATTCTCCTAGGTAAGTCATTCTAAATCTTAATGTGTGATGACGATTCTGAGTGTACCCTACAATGGCGCGTTAGAAAAGAGAGCAAAAGAGACAGAGAGAGAGAGAGAGAGAGAGAGAGTCATTTTGACAAAACTTTGGAATTAGTAGTGCTTTACGTGATAACAAGACATGACTGTTTCCTTTAATTAACTTTCTCAATACCATAGTTAATCTGGAAATGATTTGGTTCAAATGTGATGAAAGAGTTGAAATATTAAAAGAAGGGATACAATAAGAGAAATCTTTTTGGAAAGGACCTATTTTAGAAAGAATTGATATTAAATATTCTAAATTTCCTATTGAAAGGGCATTTACAATTTATTTCAAAGAATATAGGTGACATTACTCTGCAAATGAATCTAACCACCAAATAAAAGGAATAAATTTCTTGTAGAAATTTTTATCAGTCTAAAATGAGTTTATCATCAATCTTAGCTGAATTTTAAAGGATTAAATATAAAATAAGTTTTGCCTCAGATATATCAAATTTTATTAAATTAAAACTAATACTTTTTTTAGTTTATTTTTTGCATTACATTTTATTTTAATAGAAAATAAAGTACTTTCTCTAATTTTATGTTATCTTTTTAATAGTTGGAATCTTATCACAACTGCATTTGAAACTAATATTACTATAATCTCTTTAGAATTGCTATACAAAACAAGAAAGGAAATCCAGATTTTTTTATAGGAAAGGCAGATGTAAATAATCTTTTGCTTTATAGTTTAAAATGGGTACATATATATATTTTCCAGTGTGTCCTCTCCCTCTAGTTTTCTCTTAGGAGCCTTATCTTTTGTTCTTTTCTTGCTACTGTGCATACATAAGGAAAACAAACAAACTATGTACTTTGAGACACAGATATTTTTGCAAGGAATATCCTTTGTTTTGTTCCTGGGTTAGAAGACAAATTACCCGTACAGAGGAGTGGAGATCAAGGCGGAATAAGATTGAGTAGAAAGGATGTTTAGGCAGGATTGAGGCAGGTTGGGGTAAAATGGCAAAAATAGTGGGCTTTGTTCTAGGAGTTTGAGGAGAAGTTGAAAGTAGGCGCGTCCCATCATAAAATTTGCATGTTGAACAAAGATGATTATGAACGAAGTGGAGAACAGATCTCATGCTGGTAAAGAGAGCAGGTAGGCAAGCTGACTACAAATATGACACATTTGTCTCACTCAGATATAGCATAATTTGGACCAGTATACTTAAAATGGAGCTGAAGAAAGATTGATAGTACCAAGATGTCTTAGGTGAAATCAAAAGTGATCTTGGGTAATAGGCTGCAAATCACAGGATGGAAATATTTACCAAAATCTTTACTGAATGCTTATTGGAAGTACCTGAGATTCCATGTGAAAACTGCAGTGTTAATTACTTCAGGTCAGTGAACAATTACTTAATGTTTATGACATGGTGTCTTTTCTTGGAACAAGTTTCCAAGGGCTAAAAGTAAAGTGGCCAAAAATTAAAAAAAAAAAAAAAGTGATCTTGGATAAACTGGATTTGAGACTGAGTTAGAACAGTATCAAAGAAGACTTTTCATCTCTTGCTGAATATGGGCCCTGATCTTCCCTGGGTTGGGGGACACCAGAAATGCATTTTGTTGATGTTACCACAGCAAGAGTCTATAAAGAGAGAGAGGATAGACTAGGACTGAGCTGTGATAAACTCCAGTGTGATCTTTAAATCAAGAAGGATGCGGTAGCATAGAGCAAAGGAAAAATCACAGAACAAGGAACAAAATTAGTAAGGTATAATATCCTGAAACAAAGAAGGTAAGTGCATCAAGGAGGACAGAGCATTCAACAGTGTTCAAAGCTGCCCAAAAGTTAAATAAATTGAGTAGCAAAAAGTATCAATTGCACTTAGCAACTTGGAGTGTGGAGGTTTGATTCACCATAACAAAAACTATTTCACTGCAGTACAGTCTTTTGCAGAAGTGTGGTAGAGATGGTATCTGGGAAAATCAGGCTTTCTTGATTTTATTAATTTATATATTGATTATTTATATATATTTTAACTGCTATTTTCTTTAGAAATTAACAAATTACCTTTTATGTCTTTGAAACTGAAAATCAAAATATCACAAACCAAAAAGGAAAACAAAACAAGAACAAAACCCCGAAGAATAAACAACTATAAATATTGAACCCTCTAGGGTTCCTAACTGAAACTGAAAAGAATAGAACTCAGTGACCTTTCATAAGTCAATTTTACTTCCATTAAAACAAAAACAAACACTCTGACATTACTATAAGTTCCTCCAGAGGCCTTATTCTGAAAGATATTTCAACTGGTGGAGGCATGTTACCTTTGGCTTTTGTTTTCATTTATCATCTCATCATAAAATTATTTTTGCATACTAACATTAAAAATCTTTAAAATTGAAAGATGTCAATATAAGGTACATTCAGGTGTACTATATAAAATAACATTTTATTATTTCATGAAACAATACATCCCTTTAATTGACTTTATGAAAATGTTTTCCCTTTGGGGTAAATAAGAGAACATTTCTATATTTTATGCTGTACCTCAGGGCTAATGAAACAAAGTTTCTATTTGATATGTTTGCTCTTTCAATTTTTATTGAAACTCAAATGTGTCTTTACAGTTTTATCCAAAGGTTGCAGATTTTCTTAAGCTTAGATTTAAACAATCACTATTTATAATGTAATTTATATTTTTCATGGCATTTTAAGGGTTTATATCGTTATTCAGAAAATATCTGACCCACAGACTTGGATGGAGTCATTTGTAGTTTTGAAATATTGTTGGTTAATGTGTGAGCTCATAGGTTTCAAGGAAAATATCAACAACATCAGAGGTAGCAATACTTTTAGAACTTGTAATTCTGAAATAGCATTCAACCTCAACAGCTAAATAAATCATGAAGTTAAGTTAATCTTTTAATACTGAAAAATGTTTTACTTAGTAGCTGTTTGTGAACATGACTGTGATTGTGGAAACTCAGCCCCAGTTTTGCCACTAATTAACTGTGTGATCTCAGGACCCATGAAGTCTCTTTCTTCTATTTCTGAATCTATGAAAATAAAGTTTCAACTAGAATGAACTTAGAGTCATCTGCAAACTTCTGTGGTGCTTATTTATGTTTTATTATAGGTTAAATATGATTCAACATTTTACAGTTTGGTCAGACTCCATCTATGTATATATTGATTACCAGAAGATGGGGTGCTTGAAAACCAAAGGGCCTAACTTTAAATGGTAAATGTAAACCTTGTGAGTTGAGTTATGTTTTGTCAGGATTACCTTTTCAGATCCATTTCAAGGAATGGATAGAAAAGAATTTAGAGTGAGCCATCATGATGCAATCAGTTTGGTGCCAGAGGAGGGGATTGTCAGAGTCCTCTTTCCCTCCCAGGGATCTGACATTTCTTTCCCAACCCACCCTATTACTTGTCAGAGGGACCGGAACTGTTGGTAGAGTGAACCAGTGCAAGAGATGATTGAATCAGGATCTGCATCAGACCTCTGGAAGGCTACCTTTGTAGTCCATGCATCACATATGATCTGCTGACCTAGATGAATCCACCACATAGTTTGCTCCTATTCTTGGATGTAAATTTCATCATAAATGGGGATCAAGGTGGGTGTGGTGGGAGGAGAGTGAGGAACTAGGAGAGGAGGTGGAATTGATGAGAAGATAACTGCCAACCTGCTTGCCATGAAAGCTATTTTAAATGACCTTGTGGGCTCCCCTGAGTTTGAAAAATTGTTTCAATGAGAAGTGTCATTACCAATTATGGCTACAGAAGCTAATCAGAATCATCTCCCTGACTTGGGCCACCTCATTCTACCAAGTTTAGTACTCACATACGATGGTATGAAAAAAGAATCAAGTGATATTTAGGGGTAAACAAATCTGCTATGAAAAGTAGTTTGGGGGAGTATGTTAGGAGTCAGTACATAATGTATTCAAATGCAAGTTGTATGTCAGTTTTAGTTATGAAAACTCAAAGCCCCTTAGTACTCTAAGCACTGGAATGATAATATAAGTAAGTAAATATAATATAGGAGAAAACAAAGAGAAAACTGATTCCACAAATTTGAATTCCTTTATGAATAGAATAAATTACTGACACAATAAATTCATTATAATTTTCTTATATAAAAAGAAGCACTTGGGTTTAAAATCCTGGCCAGACTTAAAGAGAAGAAAAAGACATATACTAACCAAGAATAAAATATTCATTAGAATAAAGACATCTCAAAAATACTACAATTAATTCATTTTATTCCAGACTATGTAATCAAACTTGAAAATACCAGAAATCGTTTATAATATAATTTTGAACAAAGGACAAGCTCTGTACCCCTCTCTCTCTCTCTCTCTTTTTTTTTTAATAACACCATGGCTCTATCATATTATATTTTCCCAGATGAACCACTGAAAGAAGTACTACCCTGTTATACATGTATGGTTTGATATACTGTGGGAGACTCATTTGAATATGCTTATTTGCCTGCCAGTTCGTAAATAGGGATTTAATTCTCAAATTTATATGTATGATTATTATCTTCATTTATTCTCTTCAAATAAATTTGGCCTTGGGATTTTGGGGGAAACATTTAATTTGTTTTTCAAACTTTAAAATTATTCTCAAGCAAAATTAGGTGTTTGGTATTATTAGGAGCAGTAAGTTGATTTTTAAAAATATTTAAAAATTATTTTCCTAGTGAGACTATTACTATTTCCTAGTGAGACTATTACTATGAAGATTCACTTAACCCAGTGCCACATTATCACTCTCACAGAGATTATTCTTTTGTTCATCCACATAAGAATTGTTTACAGAGTATCTGCTGTGTGCCATTTGCTCCAGAAACCTCCACTGAACAAACATGATTGTAAAGAAATTCATTAGGAGTGTACCTTCTCATTCATGCTTCCACATTCTTCTCTGAATTGATTTGAATTTGCCTTTGACTAAAGGGACCATATGTCTGTATTTGTCCTGATGTCCTGATGTAATTATAAACGAAATCCCCTTCCACCCTTAAAAAGTGTCCCAGATTGTACGGCTATTTATAAATTGATCTTTATAATAAATAGTTATGTAACAAATCTAGGAATCATTTGTCACTGACAAGTAACTCTCTTTGTCTAGAAAAAGAGAAAGATGTAAAACTCTAAATTCAAACTTACCTAGTATCTATATTTTGAATCAACACATATATATCAGGAATATTTTCTTAAATTCGGGGAAATAAACAAATAAAAGCTATCGTAATAATAAACCCAGCATAATCCACTATGTTTCATTAGGCAAATATGATACTGATATTGGTGAAGGATATAAATTACCTCCATACTTCGATAATAGTATTGATCACATTCTTCCTGTTATACATGCACATAAAGTCCCTTGGCATTAACTACCAACCATTTCAACATAAGGAAAATAATTTATTGACAAAAGTAAGAAATTTTACTATAATAAATTAGGCAGTCTGTAGAAATAGATGTTTTGATCTAGAACAGCCTCCTCAGTTAATCATAAAGATGAGCAGAAGTATATAGTGGATGATAAATATAAACCTCTGGGTAGAATGGAGTGCATTATTTGAGGATACTGCTTGGGCCACTGAATTAGAAAGCTGTAGGCTGGATTTACACTAAAATAAACAGTGAGGTATTAAATGCATATTGATGGCATTCAGTGAAATGTTTCTTTGTTGTTGTTTGTTTGTTTCTTTTTCCCAAAAAGAAAGTATAAGCAACGTGAATGGGAAACTACTGTATTCTGTAGCAGAGCATTTATGAAGCAGAGCCACATGCAGCATCAGCATTTCATTTTCTGCTTTTTCTGTAATCACTCCCTTTCCAACACAGTGACTCACTAATTCCCCATGTCTACTATAATCTCCCTATTGCATTTCCCCATTACTTAGGCAGTATCCTCTTATTCCATACTTTTCCAGATGATTCCCTGACCCTCCCTAAAGATGTTTTGTCTCTTTTTTCTTTATTCCCACAGGTTCCCACTTGCCTCTTGTATGCAAAATTAGCTTCTTCCCAGTACACTGTGACCACCTCTTTCCACATATGGTAGATTTCCCTCTCATAATTATCCTTTCCACTTCTGGCTTGAATATCTATTCCTCTTTCTCTCTACATTTTCAAGTCTTAAAATCACATATACACTATGATATCTAGTTCAAATACAGGCAAAGCTTATGTGTATTGTTTATGGGTATACATAAAAAGGGGTTAAACTATAAAGAGAAGCAAGGAAACAATAAAAGAAAAAGAAGTTATTTTTTAGAGGGGAAGGGTAAGAGGGTGGATTCGAAAGTGTCAGGTATGTTCTTTATCAGAGAACAGGTAACCCGGTGTTCGCTTGCTTTCTGACCATTTGTTAAAGCTTACACATAATCAGTATTTCCAGGTAAAATACAGTTTACAGACATAAATAAATAGACAAAATACAGTATAAAAATGTGAGTTTTGTATAAAACATATATATCTGTAGGAGTTTCTGTGTGTGTGTATGTATACACATACACCTACAGAGATATTACATGGGACACACTTAAGCTATATATATGTATAAGCTATAATATACTTTTGAGATGTATATATATACACACTTATGCTATAATATGTATAGCATAAATATGTCCTATACATAATATTGGGACAAATATCTAATATATATACTTAATGTGTTCAAAAAATATTTGCACATTGCATGAGACATACTTAATTGTATATTACACATATATATGTATGTGTATACATACACATATTATATATAGTATGTAATATGTACGAATACATATATTATACATGTATTTTTGTTGTGTTTCATCTCATATTATACATATATAATACATATATTTTTTCTGTTGTTATTCATATCAAATTTACATTTAATTAAGTGTCCTGCATTATTTGCTAAATCTAACAACCCTACATTCCATTTGAATATACCTCTCTGATTATTATATTATAAGGAATGTTTTAAATACTAGTGAACCTTATAATTGTTATCATAAAACCTAAATTATCAGCTAACCAAGAAGCAAACAGTCTGTAGAGATGAAGTAAAGGGTATTGGGCCTAATGACATAAAGTAGAAATATCTTTCTATTTAGTAATGGTTTAATACCATCAAATAGAGTAATCTGAAACTATTGAAAAACCACCAACGCAAAATACCCAAGACCTATTTCTATTAATTTATTCAACGGCTACAACATTATTGATAATAAGAACCTATTCACTGCTTTTGGCTAAGTTGCCCTAAGACACACGGCCAACAGGTCACTCAGTTCCTTGTTCTATATTTTTAAAATAATGAAGTTTAATATGGTAATGGAAACATCATCATCTTTGGTGTGAAAAGTCATAAACTACAGCCCAAGGTTTTCCACCTGCCATTTGTGTGGTCTTACAGTTACATGGTATTTACTCATGTAATCTCTCCTGAGTCTCAGTTTCCTCATTTTAAAAATGAGGAAATCCCCAGCTCTACTTTGAGGATTAAGTTAAAAAGTTATGTAAAGATCATTGTGTAAACAAAAAAAATTCCTATGAAACCTAAATTATGTACAAATAAAATAACATCTTGGGGGCTTCCCTGGTGGAACAGTGGTTGAGAGTCTGCCTGCTAATGCAGGGGACACGGGTTCGAGCCCTGGTCTGGAAGGATCCCACATGCCACGGAGCAACTAGGCCCGTGAGCCACAACTAATGAGCCTGCACTTCTGGAGCCTGTGCTCCGCAACAAGAGAGGCCTCGATAGTGAGAGGTCCGCGCACCGTGATGAAGAATGGCCCCCGTTTGCCACAACTAGGGAGAGCCCTTGCACAGAAACGAAGACCCAACACAGCAAAAATAAATAAATTAATTTAAAAAAAATAACATCTTTTGCAGCTTGATAGATAAGTGCAATAATTAATGCCTGATATATTATTCTAAAGGATAATGAACAAACAAGGTGTACCATGTAAAATATTCCTGCTTTGATTTTCTACAAAGCATCAAAAGGAAAGAGTTAATTATAGGGTCTCCTTCTTCCTATTTTACAAAAACTTAAAATATCCTGCCTTTAGTGTACTCCTTAGAAGGATAAGTATCTATAGATTGACTCCCACACAGAATTATTTTTCCAGTCAAAATTTCATATTGCTTTTCCATCATCTGTTTCCCTGACTGAACGATTAGACTTCATCACTGGTCACGAATCCTGAAGCCATAGCCTGGCAAATGAGAATATCACAGAGTTCTCCAGAAGATCAGCGATTCCCAATGTTTTGTAGAGATAGATAGTCATTTTCTACATTCTTCAAGATGTTAAAATCTCTTGTGGTGGTATTCACAGAGTGCAGAGATCAGGGCTGTGTTACAACGTAAGCCTAAATGGAATGTAGCTGATGATAGTGGCTGGGAATTGCTGATGTCCAATCTCCAAGAATGTCCTTCTTCTTTTTCTAACCCTTCATCCTCTTTCCATTTTTCCTTAGCAATTGTAGTACTTTTCATCACCCTGAGACGCAGCAAAAAAGAGCCCCTGATCATTTCAGAGGAGGACGTGCGGGAGAACGTGGTCACCTATGATGACGAGGGGGGCGGCGAGGAAGACACCGAGGCCTTTGACATCACAGCCTTGAGGAATCCGTCTGCTGCTGAGGAGCTCAAGCACCGGAGAGATATCAGACCGGAAATGAAACTCACCCCCAGGCACCAGACGTTTTCCACCCTGGAAAGTATAGATGTTCAGGAGTTTATTAAGCAAAGACTGGCTGAAGCCGACCTAGACCCCAGCGTCCCGCCTTATGACTCTCTGCAGACTTACGCCTATGAGGGTCAGAGATCAGAAGCTGGGTCCATCAGCTCGCTGGATTCAGCAACCACACAATCAGACCAGGATTATCAGTACCTTGGAGACTGGGGACCCGAGTTTAAAAAGTTAGCTGAACTCTATGGAGAAATAGAATCTGAAAGAACAACTTAGGGGGTCAATTCTTGCAACCTTCTAGAATTCGCTTCCTGAGCAAGTGGAGATATAACCTCAGCAATGGCAAGGAAGAAGCTTGGAAACAGTACTAGGAACTAAGCAAGCAGAGCACAGCTACTGTAGAAACAAGTGCCCTTTTCATGATCGAAACTGGGTTATTTAATCGGAAGAAAGTCAAATTAAAAAAAAAATACAGAGAAAAAGCTATTGTTCCTTGTGTATATTTTCAATTGCTCAATAAAGTCTGTGTACTGTTTAATGAAGAATTCCTGAATTAAGCCAAACAATGATATTTGTTTCAATATTTTGTGATTTCTTTTCAAAAGGAAAACTGAACAAAAAGTTTCCATATCACTTATGACTGATTTCTAGGGGTGGTACACTGTAAAATGAAACTGGTGAAGTTAGTCACAACCTCTTTTTCCACTATTTCTGGTGGACTCTTGAGACCCACACCCTGTTTTTGTGACACATCTCATTAGCTTTGTCTCGTGTTGAAATGACACGAGATATTTCCAATATACCAGGCCACTCTGTCATGGACTTGTATGTATCATTTTCCTTTGCCCTCCCCACTTCTTTTCTCCATATGAAATTGATGGAGCATGGGGATTTGCTGCTTGCACTATGATGTATGCAACTTCTGTGCACCAGTTGTGCACTGCTCTGAATCACGGAGACTACTGTCTCTGTCCTGCCTGTCCCCCTTTATTTTAACAGGAGAACCCCCTTTTTTAAGTGGATAGAATGAATGTTTTAAGATATACTCAGATCATCTATGTCAGGGAAAGATTTAATTTAAAAAAATACAAAAAAACCTACAAACCTTATCCTGTACAAAACATTGAGGAAATCTATACTTTTTTTTCCCCCATTTGTTTTAGTGCATTTACGTCAACAATTCTGATTATTCCTGTACCTAAAATTGGTTGTCAAATATTTGATGATTGGTTTATACTTGTCTAATTTGCTTATTTTTAACATGGCAGTCATTTAAAAAAAAATGAACCTCATATGATAACTATGTAGTCTGAAAAGACTATCCTCCAACTTACATAAACTTCGTAAACTTATGATTGACTTGTCTTTATTCCTCACAGAAGCTCAGACTTTCCCCATCTCACTGATTGATTAGCCCTTCATGTTTGAGACCCACAGAAAATGTGTAGGGCTTGGAGCAAAAAAATAGGAGGTTCCCACTTATTATTCTCAGACACGTCTCTTAAAGTCAGAGTCCCAAACTACAAAATAGAGATGGCAAAGATTTCCCTGCTTAACTTACAGGGTTATGTGAAGATCAATAATCATCTGTAAAAATGTTTTGCCAACTGCAAAGTGTTCTGTTATGTAAAGGCTGGCAGACACTATCATTTTCTAATTCCATTAGTTCATAATTATAGAGTTACATATATTTTGAATAAAATACTATATTACCATGGGATAATTTCATGAAACCTTCAACAATGAATTAACTGCTAACTGGAAATATAATGTGAAAGTTTAATTCTTTTGACATTTTCCCAAATAGGCTAATTTTTTTTTTTCAGAATTTCTTGGGATTTTCCCCCTAAATTGCTTAGATAACAGTTTTCTGTTGTTGATATTGGTCGTGAAATAAAAATTCATAGCATAATGATCCTAGTCTCCAAAAATGACCACATTTATGTATTTTAGATTAATTGTAATTTTGAAACCCTCAAATTAAGATTTATTTTAAGGGGAAGTTTTGCCTTTGCTCTTTAAATATATTATAGAGTCTTCAAAAGTTATATGCCATTTTCTGTCTGATCCTACTGATGTGCAAAATTTTGAATTTTGCCTCTGTTCACAACTGCCCTGTGCTATTATTTTTCAATTTTGAGGTATGGGAAGTAAGTAAATTTAATTTGAATATTTCTCAATTTGTGTTTGAAGCCTGAGGAATAAAATGTAATTTAAGTTTTTAACAACATTTTAGCTTTCCAGATGCTGCTTTATCATTTTTTATATCATAATAGTATGCAGTCCAGTATAAAGCTAAATCAAAAGAGACAGGGGCTTTGGGGAACAGCCTCTAGAGACCCATACTCTGATTATGCAAATGCTGGGCTACATTCACCCTGACAGAAGGATCCACATTTGAAGAATGACTGTGGATGCTGGTGCTTTGACTTTCTTATGCAAAGAGGACCAGGAAAACCAGGTTTTGGATGTCCCGTAGGTTTTTCGATTTAGATTTTTGATAAACTATTCACAGCTTTTGTTTTGTTTTGTTTTAATATTCATCTGGCAACTTCACAAGTAAAGGCTTGAAAGAGGAGAATACATGTACAAACCACTTAAACATAAAAGCCAAGGTCCTCTGCATGGTTTTGAGTACGGAAACATTTCCTTGATTTTGTGGAAAAAACACCCCAGATCCATCTGATTTTAATTACACATTTTAATGATAATGGATTGCTTCTAAGCCCCTGATATTAAATCTCATATAGAAGCAAAATGGAGCTTCTGTAGTATTGAAATAATATGTTCCTATATTGATTTATTTGAGAATTTTGTTAAGGAAAGCATTCCAAATATTATTTTTATATAAATTCTGAAATGAGGCAATTATATCATTATTATAAGTATGGACTGGGTCTCATATTTTTTAATGTGCTACTTTGGGTCAAAAAACCAATAATGATATATAAATGTTCTGCCAATGGACTGAAGTCATTTAACATTCAATACCTTGCTTTAAAAACTTCAGTTTATGAGTGTGAAAAGCTAATTCTCAAAGAGTTTAGTGGGTAAAGAGTTTGCACATACTCTGAACCCTTTCTAGCCACAGATAATCAGCTATGGAATATGTGATTCCATATGGATTCCACTATGGAATCGCTAATGTGTCTCAGCACATTTTGTAAGCCTTGGTTGATATTTACAGAAAAAATATAACTTTGAAATCAATTTATTTATTTCCAAGAGAAGAATTTTCCACAGACGGACCTTATACAATGTGGTAGCTGCTAAATTAGAGGAAATACAAACAGTTATAACTTTTTTACCCAATGGCTTTCTTAATAGAATTTATAAATTCCAAATAACCTTTGTGCAGACGTAGGTCTTGCAGAAATTACTAAAGACCTATCATCATAAATTCTTTCTGTGATAAATCTGTACATACACAGATTTGAAGGGGAAATTGAAGAGGAAATTATCCCTAAGATAAAGCTCTATGCAAAGTTATGACTTTCCCATAACCAGGTATAAGAAGGAAAATATTCTGAGAAATGGCATTCATGTAACCACACACACATACACACACATATGTCTTCTTGAAGAATATTTAGAGAGTAAAAAAATATTCAAAATAGTGACTTAGATATTGATATGATCCAAATATGTGATGCATACAAAATTTAAGTACCCAGCATATGGAAGATTCAGCAAGAAATTAACGAACATTCTTTTTGGCTTTTATTTTGTGTCTAGCCTCAGCCTAACTTTCAGTGCTGTCCATGATTGAAGTTGGTTTCACAGAGCAGAAAAAAATATTAATAATAAATCAAAATTTTAGAAACGATGATTTAATGAACTCAGTGTGGCTATTAATTACTAAAAAGTGATTTGACTTAGATTCTTAGTGTACTGCAATGTAGTCAGAAGTCTGGGTCAAAGAAGGACAATGTACTAAGTACACCATTTTCAGCAATGTTGAAACCTTACATAAACGATTAGTCATTGTTTTATTTGTTCCTACAAACCTACATCCATAACTTTGATTCATTGTCCTTTTGGTTTAGCTGAATATATAGGGAAAACACAGAAATTCAGGTAGACTCATTCATGTCAGCAGCCATCAAGAAGTTCCAGGTACACTGGAACACTGGAACATGCATAGATCCAATAGGTACACTGGAACATGCATAGATCCAATATTTTTTTGGTAAAAGCTTCATCTGCTTTTTAGTATGGGCAGTGCTTGATCAGCTATTCAACAAAGCAGAACTCTAAAGCTGATCATTCTGGAAAGAGGCAAGAGTACCATTTTTCAAACTCAAATTGTACTTAGCTTCAAGGTATGGTTACATTCAATTAATTTACTTACCTTTCAATTTCAAGAATAGAACAAATCTCAGAACCGTCCTTGGTAGATATGTGACTCAAATCCTCTCTTTTTTTTACCCTTTAGGATTAAAGGCAAATCACATATTATCTGAAGGAAACAAAACCACTTCAACTTTTATATTCTACCTCATCAGCAGAAGGTAAATTTTTTTTGTAATATAGAATTAGAAATCTCATAAACCCCACAGTCAAAAGTAGCTCACAATCATTTGAAGATAACACTAGCACAGAACCCACTCTTTTTTCAAAGATTCCAAATACATCATTTTAAAATGAAAATATTAATAGCAACAGTTTTTAACATGTCAAAAGATGTATTCTGCCTTTGGCTTCTACCAATGAAAGAAGTAGTGAGGAATTTTTTGTTTTGTTTTGTTTTGTTTTTGTTTTAATTAGAGATTAAAAAAACAAGTTGTGTTCTTATTTGAAGTTTGATAAAAAAAGCTTTTAGGCTAGTAAGGAATGATTACATTTATCTTCTTTGCTGAGTCTATTGAATTGAAAGATTTTTGCCCTTCTACAGAGACATCAAACCTATTTTAGTAATAATTTGTTTTTAAAGTCTTAGGTGAAAATAAATGGGAAAATAGGAATTCAAAGAATCCTGAAATGATATTCTGTGAGGAAGTCATGTGTCATTTACAGATGGAAGTGGATTCATCTGATGATTTCGTCTTATTGTCCAGCAATATTACCTTCAGAAATAAAGAAATGGGCCATAATAGTTAGTGTCACCCTAATGATTTTATCAAGGCGATTTTCCTTGTGTCATAATGCACCAAATTCTTATTCTAAAACATTTATTGCCATTTTCAAAGTGCCACTTCAAATGCCTTAGTTTCAAACAGGAATTCATACAATCTAACATTGTGATTTACTGAGTAAGCTCTTCTAAACATGCATCATATGTAAGATACTATTCCAGACACTGTGAAGGCTGTAAAAAAAAAGGTGTCTTGGTGATAGGTGTTATCATCAATGAAATGAGAGTCTCACTTGAGAGCTAATACCTACATATAAAAAGCTATAGACAATATAATATAAAGCAAAAAGTGGCAAGTGTTCTAAAATAGGCTCAGATATATCT